ACTACCCAATTATATTACCTTCCAATTTTCATCATTAAATCATTCATATGGTAAGAGCAAAAACGCTTAAGTTTTCTGCAGACAAGGCGGTGCATGCGCATGGTTAAGCAAAAACTTCCCGATATTACTTTCCATTCACATTTCAACCCAAAAATGGTCCAAATTTTGAATTATAACTAATTATATAACAGCAACAAAACCACGCGGCCGAACGTTATTATGCGGAGGACACCCATGTATCTTGTAGCGTTTGTCAATAGTACGACCATCTTTCCCCAAGTGGTTGCGGTGAATCTTTGAATGATTTTTCTGTCCTCCTCCATCGATTAGATGTTTGTCCAATTCCTAGGTTGCCATGAGTTGAGAAATTAGAATTTGTTTTTTTAGCTATTGTAACCTTGGGACACCGTTAATGCAAATCCCAATTTGTTCTTTGCCTTTAAGATCGTGCACATTGATCTATACCAAGTAATATAGTTTTCTATTGAAAATAGATGTCACACAAGAACAATACTGACTGATGATCTTTGCCATTATGAATGTGGGTTTGTGAAGGGATCAGAAATAGGAACAACCACATTTTGGTCTGATGATTTAACAGTGGTTTGAGCCATCAAATGAAAGGGATAAAATAAAGCCTAAGCTAAAAAATATTATTTTTGGTACATTAAATGTATTTATAATCAAAGACTTACATATATCAGAAAGAAAAACAAAGCAATACAAAGGGAGAGAAACAGTAATCACAACATATTATAAAGCATAATACGAGGATCCTTTGGGGAATAACAGGAAGGAGTCTGGAATCGAGTCTTGCAGCCATTCTGATACCTTTCCACGATCAATTTAACATTGACCAATTTCACAAAACATTGCGATGTTCACAATCAGATATTTTTAAATCGAGTAGTTGTTCATTCTCCTGCTCGTGTGCATCATCCAGCCTATTTGGAGTTATGGGATGAGCAGGACCTGGAAGGACCGTGATCTCCTTCTGAAAACACTGAAATATGGAGGGTTATTGGGCATCTTATTAGATAAAGACAGTTTTCTCCTTGTTTAAACACTAATATATTGAAATTGAAGGTTATCGGGCTTCTGATCTGAGAAGGATCGCTATTACAGCAGAAGAACTGGAGGAATATCAGAGAAGAAGAGGAGTGAAATCTTATTCAAAAGAAAATGAGTTACATCAGCCGTATATATAGAGTTTGTGTGAACTAATTAGACAGCACATTGACAACTGTACAATAGCCTAACTGATTTACAAACTAATTTTGAAACTAAATAGCTAACTAATATTCTGATACTCCTCCCTCAAGATGGACTAAGGAGATTGATAATAGCCATCTTGGAGAGTAGAGGAAAGAAAAGAGAAGCTGGCAAAGCTTTAGTAAACAGATCCACCAACTGGTGTTGAGATCGACCGGCAATAATTTGATGAAAACATCAGCCTTTTTATCACGAACAAAATGACATCAATCTCGATGTGTTTTGTTTGTTCATGGAAAATAGGATTATTAGCAATGTGGATTGCAGCCTGGTTATCACAAAAAATTAAGGCTGGCGGCGATGAAGAGATCTGCAAATCAAGAAGCAGCTGATGTATCCACATTAACTCACTAGCAGTAGCTGCTAGCGCTCAATATTCTGCCTATGCAGATGCTCTGGAGACCGTTTGCTGCTTCTTAACCTCCCAAGAAATGAGAGTCACCAAGGAAAACACAAAAGCCAGTGATAGATTTCCTTGAGTCAATGCATGAACCCCAATCCGCATCAGCAAAAGCATGTAGCTGAAAAGAGCAAACCTTGACTTGGAGCTGACTTGAGAAACTGTAAGAGGTGGTGAGTTGCATCAAGATGTGGTTGACGAGGTTTGGAAAAAAATTGACTAAGTTTGTGGACTACAAAAGTGATGTCTGGACAAGAAATAGTTTAGTAGAGTAAACGGCCAACAAGTCTCCGATATGATGAAGCATCTTCGTCAGACAGCAAATCACCATCAAGTGAATTCAGACGAATCTTAGGATCCATAGGCAAAGGAGATGGTTTGCAGGCCAGGAACCCAGCATCTTCCTACAACTGCAAGGCATAATTTCTCTGAGATAAACATATCCCTTTGTGAGACCTTGCTATTTCCAACCCAAGAAAATACTTCAACTTCCCCAAGTCCTTAAGCTTGAACTTGCAGTGCAAAAATGATTTTAAGGATTCAATAACATTGTTATCCAAGCCAGTGATAATGACGTCATCTACATAGACCAACAAAGCAACAAATAAAGAACTAGAACCCTTTGTAAATAGGGAGTAATCACATTTAGATTGGCTAAAACCATGTGTGATGAGGGCTTGGGAAAACTTTGAGAAGCATTGTCTAGAAGCCTGCTGAGGACCATAAATGGACTTATGAAGCTTACAAACCGGTTTACCCTCCTTGACAACATCACCAAGTATATTTGAGTACCCCAAAGGTAGATCCACATAAATCTCCTCAAAAAGATCCCCATTCAAAAAGGCATTATTTACATCTAATTGAACTAGATGCCATTTATTAATGGCCGCAACAGCAAGTAACATCTTCACAGTAACCAATTTAGCAACGGGGGAAAAAGTGTCGATAAAATCCAATCCTTCTTGTTGGGTATAGCCCTTAGCCACCAACCGTGTTTTGTACCTTTCTATGCTCCCATCAGGTTAATATTTGATTTTATAAACTCACCTGCAACCAATGGAATGCTTCCCTTTAGGTAAACTTGTCATTGACCAAGTATTGTTCTGTTCCATGGCTGCTAACTCAGATGTCATAGCTTCTTCTTTCCAATGATCAAACTTTACAGCTTGATGATAAAACTGTGGCTCAAAGTTAGCTGACACATTAAGGACGAAATTTGATGTAGAACGAATAACAAAGAAAGAAGAAGGAGAAGGGAGGAGAAGAGAAGGGGAAACCGAGAGGGGAACACAGAGAGAGGGAAGAAGAGAGGAAAAACGGGGCTACAGCCACTTTATTATTCAATCAATTCATCAACTGCAAAATAACAATATAAAATAGGTTTAAATACTAGAAATACTGCAAACCTAGGGCCAAGCCCAATACACAAGTCCATAAAAATGAAATAACCTAAGTCCAACTAAGAAATAAAAGTCCAACTAAAATAATTAAAACTGGGATGTCCTCATCAATTCTCCCGGGGTGGGAGAGAAAACTCGACCCTGTCGAGTGGCTAAATCACCATAGGCATCCGTCAATCTCCCAACCATAGAATGAGTGGCTGGGCAAGCTTCTTCCGGCGTCTGTAGAAATGCGTCAGTGGCGGTCTGAACCTGGTGTCCTCACCAACTCCTCTTGGGTGGACAGGAGGCGATCTGGGCCAATGAAGATTCTGCTGACTCCGATAAAACTCTAACAAATCTAGATCCAATTGCTGTAGTGTCTCCCTGGAGATCCATGCACAGTCACAATCTGGTCTACCAACCCAACGAACAAGGAAGCACTGAACCTCTCCATCATCAGTGAACACAGTTTCTTCATCTAAAATAGCATCAATTTTTTCTTTGTGTACTATGAGAGGTGATAGTGGGTTAGAAGGGGCCAAAGAAGCAGGGTTAAGGTCCACAAAAGGAGATGACAGAGGATCATCTGAGGGAATGAAATGGCCTTTATAAGCTACAAGGACCTCAACATTGAAAGTAGAGTGGTAACCAAGGTGTGGTGGAATGTCAACAATATATGTATTTGGACCAACCTGCTTTAAAATTTTAAAAGGACCAGCACTACGAGCTTGCAATTTAGAGGCGGGTCCATGTAGATGCGGCTCTGGCCTAATGCGAACCATAACTTAATCCCCAATGTTAAACTCAATATGTCGTTTGTGTAAATTAGTTTGGAGTTTATATTTTTCATTACTAGCTTCAAGTTGTTTATTGATCTCAATATGCAAGTCACGAAAATGTTGTGCAAATGCTTCGGCTGATACTGACACTCTAACCTGTGGGGACATAGGGATGAAATCTAACGGTTTCCTAGGCCTGTACCTATGAACGGCTTCAAATGGACTCATGCCTAATGAACGATTTATGGAGCTATTATACGCAATTTGAGCTACAGGAAGGATCAAATCCCAATTTCGAAGGTTTTCCTGGACCAGACAACGTAATAGTTACCAAGACTTCGATTAACTACTTCAGTTTGACCGTCAGTCTGAGGGTGGTAGGCCGTAGAAAATTTCAATTTGGTACCCATCTTATGCCACAAAGTTCTTCAAAAATGGCTAGTGAAACGAACGTCCCTATCAGACACGATGGTCTTGGGAAGCCCATACAATTTGACAATTTCATTAAAGAATAACAGGGCAACCTTGGACGCATCCGACGTCTTGTTACAGGGGATAAAATGAGCCATCTTTGAGAAGCGATCGACAACCACAAAAATAGAATCATGCTTCTTTGGGGTGCGTGGAAGTCCTAACACAAAATCTATACTAACATCTTGACAAGGACAATTAGGGACAGGAAGAGGGGTATATAGACCCGTGTTCTGCTTTTTCTGCTTACTCAATTGACAAGTGTTACAAGTACTAACAATCTTAGCCACGTCTTTCTTTAAGCTAGGCCAATAGAATTGACATTCAACTTCCTCTATGGTCTTATCACGTCCAAAATGACCGGCTAACCCTCCCGCATGAATTTCCCACACGATGAAATTTCGCACTGAAGTTCGAGGGATGAACAATTTATTGGCTCTAAAGAGATAATCCTCCTCAAGTCGGAAGCCATTTGTGGCGCCTGATTGTCCCCTTTGTAAATCAAGAAAGATGTCTTTAAAATCGGGACACGCCTCGTAATCTTCCTTAAGTCTTTCAAAACCGATGACCTTGACACTCATGATCGACAAAAGAGAGACACGACAACTTAACACATCAGCTGCTTGGTTCTCTACGCCCTTCTTATGTTCTAAAACAAATGAATAGGCCTACAAATATTCGACCCAACGACCATGCCTAGAACTTAATCTTTTCTGGGAGTTGAGGTAACGGAGAGCCTCGTGATCCGAATAAAGGACAAATTCCTGGGGGTAACAAATAGTGGTGCCAATAGCGCAAAGCCTGGACCACTACATACAGTTCCTTATCATAAGTTGAGTACCGCTGTTTGGCCTCATTTAACTTCTCACTGAAATAGGCAACAGGGTGACGATCTTCACTTAAGACTCCGCCTATACCTACACCGGAGGCGTCACATTCGACTTCAAAGACTTTGGAAAAATTGGGAAGACACATGATAGGGGCCTCCGTCATTCGCTTCTTGACTAACTTAAAGGCCTTAGCCGCCTCTTGTGTCCAATAAAACTCCCCTTTCTTCATGCACTCCGTAATAGGCACCATAATAGTGCTAAACCCCTTAATAAAGCGACGGTAAAATGTAGCTAAGCCGTGAAAGCTCCTGACGTCATGAATAACTTTAGGCTCAGGCCAGTCAATAATCGCCTGAACCTTAGCAGGGTCAGGGGATACCCCTGTCGAAGAGACAATGAACCCTAGAAAAATGACTGTGTCGGTGAAGAAAGAGCACTTCTTGACATTAGCATATAGATTAGTTGCACGAAGGGTAGAGCAAACTTGTGTGAGGTGGTCAAGGTGTTGCTCCTTAGTCTTACTATAGATGAGGATATCATCAAAGTAGACAACAAGAAACTTTCCCATGAAAGGTCGGAGAATTTGTGTCATTACTCAGCCCAAAAGGCATGACTAGCCATTCATAAAGAACATCTTTCGTCTTAAACGCGATCTTTCACTCATCACCTGGGCGAATTCAAATCTGATGGTATCCACTCTTCAGATCAATTTTCGAAAAGATTGTGGCACCAACCATCATATCTAACATATCATCAAGTCTAGGAGTGGGAAAACGATACTTCACCGTGATCCTATTGATCGTGCGACTATCCACACACATCCTCCAAGAACCATCCTTTTTGGGCGTCAATAGGGCGGGGATAGCACACGGGCTTAAACTCTCACGAATGACTCCTCTGTGAAGGAGGTCATCCACTTGCCTTTGAAGTTCAGCGTGCTCGATAGGATTCACCCTATAATGAGGCAAATTTGGGAGGGATGCCTCTGGGATGAAATCTATGGCATGTTGAATATCCCTTAGTGGAGCTAGATGGTCAGGTAGGTCCTTCGAAAAGACGTCTCAAAACTCTTGGAGGACCGACAGGACTTCAACAGGGCTCTCTATTGTGGAGTGCGATGGAACCTCCATGACCACCAAAGCGAACACAACTGAGTCACCAACAGGTGTACGCTCAAACTCCTTAGGACTAATGATGTGTGATCCCTTTCGTTCCACACTTTTCTTCGTTTCCAGTGGGCCAGCAGGCTTTGGGGGCAGTGGGTTAAGGTGAATCTTCTTTCCATTAAACACGAAGGAGCAGGAATTAGATCGACCATAAATGGTTACATCTAGGTCAAATAACCAAGGTCGTCCCAAGATGATGTTCCCGACATCTATTGAAATAACGTCACACCATATATGGTCCTTATACTCGAGAAACTGGATAGGGACTAAACAACGCTCCTTGACAACTATGGAAGAGGGATCAACCCTAGAGACACTGTATGGCTGAGGGTGAGGAACAGACTTCAACCCTAGACGGGATACAGTAGCCATCGAAACCGCATTGATGCAGCTGCCGCTATCCACGATAACTTTACAGCCCTTATTATTAATCTTGATGTAAGTGTGAAAGATGGCATGACGACGCCAATCATTAGCATCCCTAGGCTGGGTAAGAGTACAACGGACGACACCGATTCTAGGCGTATGTGGGATAAGGGGACTAGCCTGGATACAACCCAAGAAGGTATCTTCACTATCCTCCAAGTCATCAAACTCTTCTAATTTAGGCTCATAAACCTGATCCTCTAGTGGCTCGTCAACTATACCTTCACGCTCTTCCAAAACTAGGGCTCGACTAGGACACTTAGAGGCAATGTGACCAAAACCCATACAGTTGAAACATTGTAAACGAGAGGACGTTCTTGAAACCTCAGAACCTCTACCTTTACTATCCGATGTAGGGGTAGTATTAGAAGGAGGAGGCCCTAGAATAGACTTAGGGGATGGAGTGGATGCAGAAGAGGTTGCAGTGCGGGAGTCACTACGACTTCTGTACGATGTCCTAGTCACTAACTCGTAATCCCGAACGAAAGAGTAGGCGTGGTCAAGAGTGATGACACCTCTAAGAACAAGCTCACGTCTAAGATCATCCGGTAGGCCTTACCTAAACCTACTCAAGGTCATGACTTCATCCTCAACGACCTGACATCTCATTCGAAACTCGTCAAACTGAGCAACATATTCGGTCACAGGTCGACTGCCTTGCATAAGTGAGTTCCATTGATCCAGCAAGTCGCCCCTGTAAGATTCAGGTAAATATTTTTCTTCAAGGCGACACTTCATTTCATCCCAGTTCCCAACAGGGGGAGCATGGCGCCTCTCTAGGAGGTCCTCAACACTTTCCCAAAACAGTTTATCTGTGCCAGTTAATTTCAAACTGGCAAATTGTACCCTTCGATCTTCAGGGACCCCATACCAGGTAAAGAAGCGATCCATATCTCTAACCCATTGATTGAATGCACTAGGATCTAGACAACCATCGAATGTAGGGGCATCTAACTTAATATTTCGAAAGAGGCGCTCCTCGTGGCGAGGGGGAGATAGTGTACCATGACAGTGATATTCCCACTCGCGTCCAAGAGCTTGATTTCCTTCCCTACGATCATGTCTAGCATGGTGTCGATCACCTTGTGGACGACGATGTGGCCTATTAATGGAAGCGTCAGAATTTTTAGCCTCAGTTGAGGATTGGGTTGGGTCAAGAGTGTTTACCCTAGCGGTTAGGGCTCTATTCTCCTCACGAGTAGCGGCTAACTCAATTTGGACAGCCGTTAATTGATTTTATAATTGTGCCAACTGTCGGGTAATAGCTTCAATGTGGGAAGGGTCCATGGCAATGGTACTAGAGCTAGAGGTAGTAACGCGACCACTACGCAATTGCATACACGGTAACACAAACTACGTGAAGTGCCTACTGAGATCAACAACTACTGAGTGCCAGCAGGGAAAATAGTAACTGAAATTTATCTATTATTATTATTATTATTTTATTTTATTGTAGAGATTAAGTATGGCCCGTTCGCAAGCTAATACTACTAATGCCAATAAAATAAAAGACAAAGGTACAAATACTAGGTCTAGTCACATCGGGTAAACGAGTGAACAATGGGGTCCGCTCGTGAATTTCAATCCAATAGATTTAAGGCTAAATTATCAAAATATTAGTAACACAAAGAGTTAATTGATGCAATTCTATAATACAGTAACAGTGTCACTAAAAATGAATAGGAGCAGAGACTCCCTAAGTTCAGTTGGCTTGAGTCATCCCAACGTCGAATGTCTCCACTTTCTGAATGGTTAAGCGTTGAGATGCCAAGACGGAAATTTCGTGTTCGTCGAGATACGGTACTGATCAGTCAACTAAAATGTACCTGTAAAATCGTGTCAGGAAATACCCAAAAATTCTCGATTTTTTTTTTACTCTTTTTTTTTTAATAATACAAAATCAGAACAATAAAATAATAAATGAGCCCATTTCACAAGTTTTGGGCCTAAATCACACTCAAAATCTCAATCAAGTTCAAGCCCAAGCAATAACTAATAAATCCAGCCCGATTGAAATCAAACCCAAACCCAAGTGATACAAATAAACCAGCCTGATTGAAATTTAGCCCAAACCCAATTGATAACTAATAAACCAACCCGCCTAACTATTAAACCAATCAAGCCCAAACCATAACTCATAAACCAACCCGATTGAAAGCTGTGGGAGTCGGCGTCTGGGATGTGGGCTGGCTCAAAGGAAAGTCTCACGGTGTGGGGCGCCGGTCTACTAGCGGTCATGCCTTAGGTGTCGCGATTGGCTGCGACAGTCGCTGCGGTTGGGTAAGTTTGTAGCTTGTTCTGTCTGATGGGAGATTTGGGTATTGTTGGGTGTCGACGGCTGGGGGTGAAGCAAGTAGCGCCGTCGATGGAGTAGTCTTCGGGAATAGAAACTGCAAATGGGTGACTGGAAGTTTGGCTACAAGAGGTATTTAGTGGCGGTGATGGGTCTACATTGGTTGCTGAATATGGAGGTGGCCGCAGTGGTTATGGTCGCTTGGAGGTGGCGGCCGAGGATCTTTTTTTTTTATTTTGGGTTGCGATTTGGGGAGAATTGCAGCAGCGATTGTGGTGGGGCTGGACGTTGGCAGTTACGGGTAGGAAGCGGTTATTGGTTTGTGGTAGTTTTTGGTGATGACGGTTTTGGATTTTGTAGTAGGCCAACCGAAATTTTTTTTTTTGTTGCAGTGAAAATTCCCAAGTTTCGCTCTAATACCAAATTGATGTTGAATGAATAACAAAGAAAGAAGAAGGAGAAGGGAGGAGAAGAGAAGGGGGAACCGAGAGGGGAACACAGAGAAAGGGAAGAAGAGAGGAAAAACGGGGCTACAGCCACTTTATTATTCAATCAATTCATCAACTGAAAAATAACAATGTAAAATAGGTTTAAATACTGGAAATACTGCAAACCTAGGGCCAAGTCCAATACACAAGTCCATAAAAATGAAATAACCTAAGTCCAACTAAGAAATAAAAGTCCAACTAAAATAATTAAAATTGGGATGTCCTCATCAAAATTTTTGTGTGAGGAAGAGAGTTTTGAATATGATATGTACTTGGATAAAGGGTATATTGAACTTTTGTCTGGAGGAGGTGTATTTGACAGGAGATTGCAGTGGAATTCACGAAGATAGGAAGGTGGTTTGATGACTCTATATGATCTTCTAGGAATGAAGGAAGGGTGCTCAGAATTTTGTTCGTTTGAGGGAGTAACAAAATTTTGTTCATTGTTGTTTGAGATTGTATGTGCGTAAGGAATATTGACGTATGGGGATATATTAGATTCGAAGGACGCAGATGGGTGTGATATGAACATGTCAGGAGCAATGTGAGGCAAGACTAGGCCAAGAAATGGATCAATGAGTTCAGTTGTGTGAGTTATGGAGTGAAATGGGAAGTGATTTTCATGAAATAAAACGTCTCTGGAAACAAAGAAGGTCTTAGAAGAGATGTCATATAATTTGTATCCTTTGATACCTGGAGGATAGCCAACAAAGACACATGCTTTGGCTCGTGGATGAAATTTATTTCTGTGAGATGGTAGCGTTGAGGCAAAACAAAGACACCCAAACACTTTGAAGAAGCTATAATCTACTGTAGTACCAAAAAAAAAGGAGTGTTATTTTTCAAAATTGGTGAAGGAGTTCTATTGATCAAAAATGTGGCCGTGAGTACACAATCTCCCCAGAATTGGATTGGAATTCGTGACTGGAATAACAAAGCTCGAGCCACATTAAGAAGATGTTGATGCTTTCTTTCAACCACTGAATTTTGCTCAGGCCGTTCCACACAAGAAAATTGGTGGATTACTCTTTTGGAATTGAAAAACTCAACAAACTGCAGTTCAGGTGCATTATCTGATCTGAACTTCTTGATCACTTTATGAAATTGTGTTTCAATCATCTTAAAGAATCTAGGAATGATGGAGTGGACATCTGACTTTTGTCTCATGAGATAAACCCATGTAAACCGCGTGCAATCATCCACTAATGTTAGGAGGTATCTATGTCCAGAATGTGTTGGAACATGATAAGGTCCCCAAGTGTCACAAGGAACCAAGTCAAATGCATTACGTGACATGTGATTGTTGGATGTAAAAGAGAGCCTCCTCTGTTTGGCTAAAGGACATATATCACAAGGCAATGAATCATAGTTCTTGTGCCTATTACTGGTCAAATGCAATTGTTCTCTTAACAAATCTAACTTCTGAAATGATAAATGCCCAAGTCTGTGATGCCAAGTATGGGCAGTCACATGATTCACTGTAGAAGAAACAGAAATACAGCCATTGTCAAATGATTTTCTGCATTTATTTTACACTCTATCAGATGGTTCAGCACTCATTATGTACAAATCACTCGTGCCGACTGTTTTCATACTATGTAGGTCCTGGATAATGCATGAATCAGGGAGAAATTTGACCTCTATACGTGTATACCTGGTTAGAGAGCTTACTGACATCAAATTGAACTTGAATTCTGGAACATAAAGCACATCTTGAAGAACCAGATTAGGAGCAACTTTAACTATACCAACAAACTTTACAGGAATTCTCATATGGTTTGGTAATGTAATAAAGGAATTCTGTACTGATTTCATCGAGTTAAAGGCTGAATAATTGGAGCAAACATGACTGGTAGCTCCTGAATCCACCACCCAAAGTCCAGGAGAATTCAGCAATGGATTGGGAGAAATGGAGAAACATGTACCTGACACCTGATTAGAATGAACAGAAGCTATTGTATCAGTTTTTGCAAAAGCCAAATGACTATTTAAGATGTCCATCAGGTGCTGGTGTTGTGCAGGATTCAAAGTCTGTATGAAGTCTCCAACATCATCAATGGCGGAATAACCAATTGATGAAGATGACTGAATTTGATTCGAAGCATCTATGGGCATCATCATGAATCAGATGATCTTTGAATCAAAACGATCAATGAATCAGAATTTCTCCAGTTCAACCGATAGCTCTGATACCATATTACAGCAGAAGAACTGGAGGAATATCAGAGAAGAAGAACTGAAGGAAGCTTCTAGAAAATGGAGGGAAATCTTATTCAAAAGAAAATGAGTTACATCAGCCGTATATATAGAGTTTGTGTGAACTAATTAGACAGCACATTGACAACTGTACAATAGCCTAACTGATTTACAAACTAATTACGAAACTAAACAGCTAACTAATATTCTGATAGATCGCAATACCAAAGGTCCAATACTGTCTTGTGCACCTTCTATGGTTCACTGTCTATTTCAGGTGAAAATTGATCATCTCCAGACCAGTACGCAACCAACCAGTATATTAGTAAGTTAACAAAACTTCCAAAAATCAGCATCGCATAATAATTGTCCAAATGACTTGTATATATATCATGCCCAAACCAGCTACCGAAAATAAGGATACAAACTATACTAAGAAACTTTCCGATGCCTATCACACATTCTCCAAACGGTGGTCCGTAGTTCTTTAGAGATTCAGGAACCTGGGAACGAAAGAAACTTTGAAGCCCACCTTCTGAAAGTCCTTTCATAATTCCCAAGAAGATAAATTGTGGAGTTAGGCTAAAAATATTCGTATATGAACTTGGCTTATCGTAATACAGCAAGTGAGCTGCATTTTTCCAAGCAAATATGCAACAAATGACAGAAAATGTCATTCCGATACCGATTCTCACCAGTATTATGAGTTGTCCATTCATTTCATTACCAATCTTTCGAAATAGGAAGTCATATAGATAATCAATTGCAAAGCTTGTGACTGTTACTAATATAACAAAAACAGTAGCAGGGAATTTGTCATCAATGTTGCTTGCTTGCTCGAAAAAGAAGGTGCTCCCTGTCGCATCAACCAGACTGTATGTAAGGAAAGTTGTCCACATAGGAACCATCCCTAATAAAAATTTATCTTCACTCACTTGTGCAGCAGTGCAAGGCTTGTCTGGCCTATTTTCCTTTTCAATCACAATGGGAGCTTTATCTAACCACCTAACGTTTACAAACAAAGACTGTTACTAATATAACAAAAACAGTAGCAGGGAATTTGTCATCAATGTTGCTTGCTTGCTCGAAAAAGAAGGTGCTCCCTGTCGCATCAACCAGACTGTATGTAAGGAAAGTTGTCCACATAGGAACCATCCCTAATAAAAATTTATCTTCACTCACTTGTGCAGCAGTGCAAGGCTTGTCTGGCCTATTTTCCTTTTCAATCACAATGGGAGCTTTATCTAACCACCTAACGTTTACAAACAAAATGCAGTGCATGTTCAGTACATAAAATCAATAATCTCGTAAAGTCAGAAACCGAGTGAAGGGACATACCTCAACCATGAAATGTGAGGCGCAATACGTTTAACACCTTCATAGCGAAGATTTCTTTTTAGTACTGCTGTTTTGATAACAAATAGAACATCAGAGATGGCGCTGCCTGTTGGTCGATTGCATTCGTAAAATTTTGCACCTAACCAGAACCACAGGTATGCAACCATCATTGCAATTGCAGAGATCATAGAAAGCAGCTTCGGTGAACTCGGGACAAAAATAGCTGGAATAGCTCCCAAGATAGATGCAGAGCACCACCAGACGTTGCTACGGCTATGTTGTCGTTCTTCATCCTCTTCTGCGGTTGGGATATCCTTCGCCATGAATTGATCATCAAGAAACGCTTTCAAGGATACAGCTTTTGCTGCTTTCGCCAGAGTTATTAGCACCAATCCCAAGTAAGCAGTTCGAATCTCTGTATTTGTATGCCAGGCCGCATTCCAGAACAGCCCCAACCCCTACAAAATGTGAATTGATTTAGAAAAACTGTGAATAAGACGAGTCATATCATTTGAGAGAAAATAGTGGTGGGTTTAACGTTAATCTCTCATTACAAAACTCACAATGTTGTAAGATATGGTGGAGTAAACCACCATTTTGAAGCGGGCCAGATAGGCATCCGATGCAAAAGCAAATAAAATTTGCAGAACTGCCGAGGTTCCTTCCTGTAAATTGACAGCTTTAGCCGATTTTGGTATGTCCCATACAACTGGGAGATGAGTGTACAGGATATCTACCAGTGCATTCTCTACGAAACTGTGGACAAATATAAGGCCTACAGAAATTTAAGCCAAGTGTTAGAATTTAGGAAGACAGTCAAAGTCAGCATAATTATTCTTAATTTACCAAATATAAACAATGCTTCCTTTGAGAAAACAACGTAGTAACGAAAATTGTCCAAACACCAGTTGGTTATCCTCATAACGATTCCACTGCTATAAAAAAGTAAATCTGATTGTATAGTCAGTCTTCTACTTCTTGAAAATTAAGGCATTTATATAGGCTCAAAATACGTGTGAACAAATGCATTAGTTGGTGTTAACCCCAAAAAGTGCGCCAACAGATACCGGTCCCACCCGCGCTTGCGTGGGCGAATTTCCAACACGCTAAGACACGTGGACGATCTAAACGAGCGGTTCAAAGGGGCGTGGGAGTAGCCCAACGACGCGGGACGGTGACGTTCGGGATCCGGCGGGTTGTTCGTAATCCGGTTGTACAATAATTACCAACCGGTGCTCGTAGATATATGCAAAAATGTATAAACTCGATTTGTGTATTGCCAGTAAAATGGGAGAGAGTTGAGTAAAATGTAGTATTTAGTATTGATTCTTGCATTAGTCCTTTGACGTTATACAATGGGGGTATTTATAGTGATACATATGGAATGGGGGCCCTCGGATGAAGTGGCACGTGGCCTCATCTCCTTAGTTTAAACGTCTGTTTTTAGGCATGGGATTTGACTTGCTAGCTTACGGCGCATTTATTGCTTGTGCCGGGCCTCCACGCTAGTGACAAGACTTGACCTTTATGCTTATGACAGGCATTCCATCAATCATTCGAATAAGATCTGTGCGGGCGATCTCTTGGGAGAAGTGACCATGGAGGATGTTTCCTTGTGGTTGAGGCTCGCGCATCAACTCCGGGGCTTCGTCCATTCGAGGACCTCAGCTACAACCAAGAGCTTCCACGCCTTGGGCCACGGAGCCTCGATTAGAAGCAGTTCGGATGTAACCCACCTCGGCAATGTGGGCCACCTCGGCAGGAATGCCACGTGGGTCAGGATGAGTGGCCCACTGGCCCAGGTGGATATGACAGGTGCGACAACACGCAACAATAGTCCCCCAAGTCCAAGTATGATCATTAATGTAATGCGTGGACTTTAACGGAGTAAAAGTTGAAAGAATTTTTGAATTTTTTGAACCGGTTTGAATGTCGGATGGCATATGAGGAAGCCGAGGTGGTTGGGAAACCGAACCTGCGAGACTTGAATGCTGAATGCGTCTGAAGAAGCCGAGGTGGTTGGGAAACCGAACCTACGAGGCTTGAATGCTGAATGCGCCAGAAGAAGCCGAGGTGGTTGGGAAATCGAACCTGCGAGGCTTGAATGCTGAATGCGTCTGAAGAAGCCGAGGTGGTTGGAAAACCGAACCTGCGAGGCTTGAATGCTGAATGCGTCTGAAGAAGCCGAGGTGTTCAATGGTAATTATTGTGCTTTGGTCTCTGTGTCAATGATTTGATGTTTTGTGCTTGTTTTCGAGGAAAGGTAACTGAACCGTTACGACTTCCAAGGTGCTGGCGCCGACGAATTAAAAATGCAATTATGAAAGCAGCTGGC